CCTCCCTCCTTCCCTTCCCTCCATCCACCCCTCCCTCCTTCTGTACTTCTGTCTTTCCTGAAAAATCTAACCACCACCAACAGTAGTTCTGAAAGGCAAAAGATGTTTCATACCAAGGCACAGCCAATGTATAACTAACATTTCAGAAGAAAAATGCACCCAAAGGCCTGAGCTCTCCTGCACTGCTGCAGGCTGTGAAGAATTAAAAAGGTGTATTTTTGTTCTTTCTTGATGGTTGGGGAAATAGCCATGTCAAACAAAGTCTTCATGCTTTATTTAATCACATTAATCATATACAGACTGACACCTTCATAAAAAATTAAGACATCACCTGAATTCTTGACACACTTATGGTTCTGGTGGGCCATCAACCCCCCTTTTTTCTAAACAAAATGAACCAAATTTACCCTCATTTTTTCCATGTAGAAATTGCCTGGGCCTTTTGATTACAATGCTCTATTCTTCCTGCAGGCTTTTTTGGTTTCATTTCATTCTGAGAAAGGGTCTCATATGGCCCAAGCTGGCCTCAAACTCTCTAGGTAGCAAAGGATGCCATTCAGGTTATAACCCTGCAGACTCCACTTCCTAGGTATTGAGAGCACAGCTGGGCACCACCATAACTGCTGTATATGGTGCTGGGCTCAAACTCAGGGCCTTGTGCATGCCAGGCAAGTGCTCTACCAACTGAACTGCATCCCAGTGTCTTTGGAGAGTGGGTCTCATGGAGCGAGCACTGGTCTAGGATGACCTTGATGCTGGCCTAGAATGACCTCAAACTGCTCGATTCTACTGCTTCCACTTCCAGGATACAGAGAGCTCAAAAAACACATCACCATGCCTGGCTTACTTTAGTATTCGAAAACAGAACCGTGTGTCCCTTTCAAGAGAATCTAATGCATTGCAAGGGAGTGACTCAGAGTGGTGGGCGGGAAGCTAAAGAGCTACAGAGTGATGTTTTGTTGCACAAATTCCTTTATTCGGCTCTGTGGCATCTTCCAGGTTTCCTGTTTAGTAAAGATCAGATTCTGGACAGGATCCCCAAACCTCTCCTTTCCTCTTTATTCTCTTCTTCCCTTGCCTCTGCCCTATTGTGTTGTCTGAGATTTTACTCTTTCTCAGGAACTGGCTCTTCTGCAGTTTCCTTTTTCAGTTCAACAATTATGATTGTGGAAGATGCACTTATTCACCCCCACCCTTTACCCTTCTCTTATCTGTGTTTCTTCCACCAAACATGGACCGCCTGTCTCCTCTCCTTAACTGGGCGTGGCTACCAGCATGCTTTAGCATCTAGCTTATGGGCAGTTCTAAGTGTAGGCCTTGTTTCTGCTCAGCTCTTCAGCTCCTTCGTGATTGCCATAGAAAGACAATAAGAGCAGTCTGCTGGCCTGTTGGTGCGCAGAAAATGCAAGCTGCTGCATCCCACCTACAGCTTAGAGCCATTTAGCTGAGCTCAGCCAAATCAAGCAGAGTCCTGCGGCCAATCCTTAGCTTTGTCACACAGCAGGAAGCTTTTGTGTACCATGAGCCTGACAGCTGTTCCAACAGCCCTCTGTGAGACAGATCTCAACTGTGCCCAACCACGTGAAGTATCTCAGGGGAATGAGTGTTCCTTACAGCATGAGGGATGGCAGTTCCTTTCTTTCCATGGGTTCTGGGAGGACAAGACATGGAAGCCTATAAAGATTGAGCATACTTAATCTGAAGGCTTAAAACTGGGAATGCTTCCACATCTGAATCTTCATGACAAGCAGACCTCTTCATACCTGCCCTCCAATGGGTCAATATACAAAGCTTGTTTTAAATGAAAAACTATTAAGAAATATTGTACAAAGCCACCTACAGACTATGTGTAGGTATGTATATAAAACAAATACATCTCCAAAGCATCTCATTGTATACAGGCAAAGATTCTGAAATAAAAAAGTATGAAAATCCCAAATGTAAACATCTCTGATCTCAAGCAAGTTGTACAACAGCCACTCAATCTCTAGAGGAGAGAACACAAGGGGGGGGGGAGCAGAATTCAAATTCCAGAGAAAGAAGGACTGACAGGAGGAGAAGGTGCCCACAACAGCCTTGCTCATATGCAGTAACCCTGAGAACACAGCTTCTCTGGTACACATCCAGGGCCCATGAGGCCAATGCCTGGCAGACCGTGACAGGAGCAAGCAAAGCATCCCCTGACTCAGCTCAGCCACTATCCCCTTTCTCTGTCTTGGCTGTTTCACTCTTCAAAGGGCTCCAAGAAGGTCCCACATACCTATGTGTGAGCTCTCTCTTCTCTTGATACAAAGGTGGAAAGATCTGCCCCGGCTTTTCTGTGGCTGGCTATTCTCATCCGAACCCCTAGCTCTTTTAGCACACTCCGCTGGTTGACTTTGCTCAAACTGAGCTTTCATTTAAGATGAACCCCCAGGGGCCCATCTCAGCCTGCCAGTGGCTTACCAACTCCCAGACCATAAAAACTCAAACCCACAAGAAAAACAAAAAAGGTCATAGAATTGACTCCTTCCTGTACTAACACACTCTTCCTTGTATAAACACTAGAATGGCCAGTAACAGTTGAGCTCTTACCCTTTGTGCTCTATAAAGTAAGTGTGTGAATGCATGGATATGTGCACATGCACACACGTGAATGCATGCGTGGACATACATACATATACATACACCTCCCCAAACTTTTTCTTGACCATGTCTCCCATAAGCAATGGTCAGCCAAGCAGTTCTGGATGGTCCTTAGGAAACAGGGCCCGGACAAATCAGGAGTACAGGCTGAAGTATGCATTGGGGTTTGCTATCAGCTTGGTTATCCATGTAGTGACACAACTGGAATCTCTTGAGATACCTCCTGTCTTCACTAGCTTTGTCTCCAGCCAGAGGCAGTGCAGCGGGTACACTTGCTTTGTTTGTGTGACAGCTAATCTTGTCTGTCAACGTGACTGCAGCTGGAATCTATGAAAACACAAGTGCTGGCTGCTCCTGTGAGGGATTTTCTTGACCAAGGTACTTGAAGGGGGGGGAGCCACACAAAATATAGGCAGTGCCTTCTGGTAGTAGCCCACATGGTAGGGCATGGAAGAAGGACTGCTTTGCTTTTTGTCTTCTTGTCTTCACTTTTTTGACAACTTCATCTAACCTATTGCTGTGACTATTGCATTCCTTAACTGACAGTAGCACCAGCTTCTCTGGCTTCTAAATGTAGACTGAAGACCAGCATCTCTCCCAGAATCCTTTTGTGAATCAGCCATTGTTGGTCTATCTAGACCTTATCATGTAACTCAATTTAAATAGATCTCTCCTTAATATATATTAATTCTCTCCATCTGTTCCTCTAGAGCAGACTTCAATCTTCTTAACCGCTGTGACCCCTTAACACTGTTCCTCATGTTGTGGAGACCCCAACCATAAAATTATTTTTGTTGCTATTTCAAAGCTGCAATTTACTATTATGAATCATAATGAAAATATTTGACATGCAGGTTATCTAATATATGGCCCAAAGGAATTACAACCCACAGGTTGAGAACCACTCTTCTAGACCTGACACACTTGTTAGTTACTTGGTTAGTTAGTTGGAGACAGGATATGACTAAGTATCCTAAACTGGTCTTGACCTGGAGTTTCTCCTGCCTCCTGGTGCACCTGCTAAGCCTTTGCTTCGGCCTCAGGAGGCAATGGAGGGCCAGAGAGAAGCTCTCAGGCAGAATTTGGTGGAATGGGTTTGCTGGAAAGAGTCGGTTCTAAGGCCTGTATACCCACCACCTTCCACCCTCAGCTGCTACCTCTGTCTAGGCGTCCTGAGACCTGGGATCACTAGAGTTGCCAAAGAAAAACCTCTATTTTTGGTCCTGAATGGACCTGTCCAGTTTCCTGGCCACAGACAGGTCAACTATCTTATATATTGAAATACTCAGAACCTGGTTGAGGGTAGTCAGGGAAGCAACATAATCACTGAGCAGATCAAGCAGCCCAAGCCAAGTTGATCTACTGAGCACCAGCACATCGCCTGTTCTTTCCTATGCTCTCTTCATCTCAATTCCAAGAGCCTTGGGTACAGTTCTCCAATCTCAATTGATCACATGTGGCAAATCTATGCAGAAACCCTTCACAGTGGCCACAACAGCCAACAGTTGGACCCACAAAGAAAAAAGACAAAAGCTGATGGGAGAACTCGAAAGAGGGCATTTGGGGAAGGGCAAACTGCTTATAATACCTCATTGGCCAAGGAAGACATCTCTGTACTGTATTATAGACCAATGCAGTATTAATATCATGAGTATTAACACTGATTCACACAGAGTTTGACAGTACCAGCATCTATTAAGAAAAGCAATTCTACAGCCCCAGGGAAAGGTCAAAGCATAGAAAAAGCGCCCCCACAGGAGAGCAGTGATTACTGCAGTCTTGGAATCACCTACCTCTGAATGTTATCCTCAAGCTGCTTGACTTTGAGTTCGTCCTCCTCAGACTGCCGTCTCCTGGCTTCCTCCTCCTCGGCCCCTCCCCCTGTAGCAGCCATTTTTCCCGAAGCACTTTGGACTGTGGGAAGGAGGGAAGACAACAGATAAGATGACACCTTTCAGTCCATATCTTTCTCTGGATTAGCAGGGCTTCTCCAGCAGATCTGCCCTTTAACAGTTCAGACTTGACCACTGCCTTCACCCTCCCTGACATGGCTGTCTACTCCCACCTGGCCAAGCAACCAGGATTCCTGGACTGTTGTTTTGCTACATCTTTTTTTTTTTTAAATTCAGTTGTATATTTCTTGAGACCCTACCACACAGCAAACACTATTCTGGCCACCAAAAACAAACAAACAAAACAAAACCCAATTCCAGTCTTACACACCTTCTATTCCAGTAAGGAGAGAATGAAGACATAGTTTCTGCACACATACACAGATACATGCATATGTGTGTGTTTCCCCATGCATGTGGTTATATATAGTTATATATACACTCACACACATGTATGTACATATAGATGCACCCCACAATGATTCTTGGAATTCAGAAAATAAGGAGAGGTAGAAACAAAGTGTTTCTATGTTTATGAGATAGGTGTAAAGGACTTCATTGACAAAGTGACATTGCAGCAGAAAACTGCAAGAAGTAAGGCAGCAGCCTTACTGATGGGATAACCTGGGGAAAGGATGACCTTGAGAGAGTTGGTGGTGGCGTCTGTGCTTTCTATTATTAACCTAGATGGCCCTCACTGAAGAATGGATAAAGAAAATGTGGTATATTTACACAATGCAGTACTACTCAGAAGTAGGAAACAATGACATCCTAAAATTCTTAGGCAAATGGACAGAACTAGAAACAAAACAAAACATAAAAACCATCCCGAGTGAGCTATCCCAGACCCAGAAAGACAAATATAGTATGTACTCACTCATAAGTAGATACCAGACCTGAAGCAAAAGATACCCAGTCTACAATCCACAACCCCAGAGAAGCTAGAACCCTCTTCTAGAAACAGATGGAAGTAGATGCAGGAATCCACAACTAACCAATGGACCAGGCTCCTGGAGTACAATTGAAGTGATGGGGGAGCAAAAATATGAACAAAGGACTCAAAACCATGATGGGGAAAACCACAGAATCAGCTGACCTGAGCTAGTGAGAAATCACTGACTCAGATCCGACAAATGGGGAACCTGCATGAGACCAAACTATACTCCCTTAATATAGGTGACAATGGTGAGACTGGGATAGTATATGAGGCCACTGGCAGTGGGTCCAAGATCTAACTCTAATGTACAAACTGATTTAGTAGAGCCCATTCTATATGGAGAGATACCTTGCGCAGCCTAGACACAGGGGTGTGGGAGGTGGGGAGGTGCCTTGGTCCTGCGTCAACAAGAAGATGGAACATACTTAGTAGACTTCCTAGGGGAGGCCTTACCCTCTCTGAGGAGCAGATGGGAGGTGCGTGTGGGGGAACTGGGTTAGGAATGTAAAAAATAAATTAATAAAAACTAGAGTAAACATAATAAATGTATATCTAGATTTAATAATCATGACTATTTTGACATATTTCCACATTATCAAGACTTTTTAAAGATTTATTAATGTTTTTGTGTGTATGTGTCTCTCTGTGTGTGCACATGCACATACATAAGTGCAGGTGCCTTAAGAGTCCAGAAGAGGGTGTTGGATCCCCTAGAGCTGGAGTTATAGGCACTTGTAATGAGCAGTTGTATGTGGGTGCTAGGAATCAAACTCAGATCCTCTGTAAGATCAGTGTGTGCTCTTAACCACTGAACCATCTATCTAGCCCTGCCACCAAAGCATTTTAAAGCAAATCTCAAACACCATGACATTTCACCCATTAATATTTGAAAATGAGTCTCAAAGAAAATCAAGGACACTTTTCTATGCAACTGTAGCCCCATTGTAAAATTTCTAAGATCATGTGATATTCATTCCATACTGAAATGTTCTTTTTAAAAAGTCCAATGGCATGCCTCCTCTTAAAAAAACCATTCAGTAGCCAGGCATGGTGGTGTGCGCCTTTGATACTAGAACTTGGGAGGCAGAGGCAGGAGGATCTCCGTGAGTTCAAGGCCAGCCTGGTCTACAAAGTGAGTTCCAGGACAGGTAGGGCTACACAGAAAAACCCTGTCTCAAAAAAACAAAAGCAAAACTAAAACCAGCTTAACAAAAATCATTAGTGACTCACATACATTCCCAGCAGTGTCTCTAATGTGGTTTAAATCATATACCCCTCCTTTGCCAGTGTGTAAATATACAATAGAGGGGACAAAACATTCTCACTTCAGTTCAATGGATGGGAAAGAGTAATTGCTGCTGAGGGAAATGAAATAAAAACAACACACAACAAGATCCTGTTTGGGCTCTCTAAAATGAAGAATAGGACACAGGCAGGAGAGGGGCTCCCATTTTGTGTCCCCTACATGGAAACTAGCAGCTCCTAGATGTCTGCAGAGACTGATCTTGTGCATCATGGTTGAGGACCATAGAGTACACATGAGAGGATCAGTGGTCCTGGGAATGAACCACTGTGAGGACTCATAGGACCAATTCTTTTTTTTTTTTCCAGATTTTTAAAATTTGAATTAGAAACAAGATTGTTTTGCATAACAATCCCAGTTCCCTTCTCCCTCTGTCCTTCCTTACCACCTCCCCCCAACTAAAACCCTACCTATCACATATCCTTTCTGCTCCCCCTGGATGGTGAGGCCTTCCATAGGGTGTCATCAGAGTCTATCATATCCTTTGGGATAGGGCCTGGGCCCACAACGAGTGTCTTGGCTCAGGGAATGTCCCTCTATGTGGAATGGGCTCCCAAAGTCCACACCTACGCTAGGGATAAGTACTGGTCTACTATAGGAGCTCCTGTAGATTTCCAAGGTTTCCTCAATGAAATCCATGTTCCTGGGGTCTGGAGCAGTCACATGCTGGTATTCCAGCTATCAGTCTGGGGAGCAAGAGTTCCCTGATGTTCAGGTCAGCTGTTTCTGTGGGTTTCACCAGCCTGAGGACCAATTCTTACAAGTAACAGAAGGTAACAGGAAAACAAGAAAAGTGGAAATAATGCTGGATTGAGGGATTAGTAAATAGTTTCATCCTAAACCTTTATAGCGATCTGCTTGATTACTCCCACAGTGTGCTAAGAAGCAAACTTAGGGGCCAGAGAAATGGCTTAGCAGTTAAAAGCACTGATTGTTCTTCTAGAGGACCTGGGTTCAATCTCCAGCTCCCTCATGGCAGCTAACAACCACTGCAACTCAAGTTCTAAGGGATCTGACTCCCTCCTCTGACCTCCTCAGACACTAGATGTGCATGTGGTAACCCAAATTCTTGTAGGCAAAACACTATGCAAATAAAATAAAATAAAATAAAATAAAGGTGAACTTAAAGTACTCAACTTGTCTTCTAATGCAAACTTAAAGACGTGTATTTTTCTCACATTTAAGCAATTTTTGTATAGCTAAAGTGACTGGAGATAGGATTTTCTCCCTACCTGTCCTGGTCAGCTCTAACTATCAACTAGACATAGCCTGGCACCTCCTAAGAAGAGAGTCTCACTTGAGGAATTTTTGCACATGTCTGTAGGGGACTGTCTGATTGTTAATTGATGTAGGAGGAGCCAGCCCACTGTGGGTGACTGATACAATTTCATGGGCAGGTAGGTGGTCTTGGGATGCATAAAAAGGATAGCCAACCATGATCCTGTGGCTTATTCTTGTGTTTCCTGAGTTTATCCTTTACTCCAGACCATCCATCCATCTGTAATCTGACTAAAGTTATCATTGACTGCCTTTGTGGGTGATGGTTAGACTGTGGATAACTTCACTTTTCTAAAAAAAAAAAAAAAAAAAAAAAAAAAAAAAAAAAAAGTGGCTAAAGATTCAGGGTGAGGCAATAGCTATTTTTGTACTTTTTCCCATTTTTGTGTATATACGGTATGCATGTGTATATGTACATTTTTGCCTGTGTGTGGGCATGCATGCACATATATATACCTATGTTGAGGCCTAAGATTGATGTCAAGAATCATACCTAATTGCTCTTTCTACCTGAATGCCAGAGGCAGGAACTTATCAATCAAATCTAGAGCTTGCCAATACAGCTGGTCTTGCTAGCCAGCTTTCTCTGGGGAATCTCGTCTTGGCCTTTCAAGGCTGGAACTGCAGGCAGGTCATCATGCCCAGCTGGCATTGACACGGGTTTCTGGAGATCCAAACTCAGATATGATGCCTGCACAGAAAGCACTTTCCTCACTGAGCTGTCTGGTATCTGGGTTTTGACTTACTCTCTCTCCCATATCCTGTCCCTCACCCTTTCTCCTAACCTGTGAGTCTTTTCCTGTCCTCTTTGTTATGCCTAATAAGATATTGTTTTGGTTCGGAGGGTTTTTAAAATAATGTAAGGAGATGTCAACCCAAAACTTCTAATGAAAGAGATGGAGTTCTACTCTTCACTCCAATTTTGGTTATAGTACAGAGACATGTTAGAGCAAGGACCTTCATACTGAATCATCTGACTGGTCCAGAATGTTTACATTTTTAACATTGGAGTTTTATACATGCAAATAACCAAGAAAAATCTGAATTAGTGTTAAAAGTTCAAAATAGTAAAACAACAACAACAACAAAAAAAACCCTTAATATCTAACAAAGCTCCCGATACCTTAGGGCTATTCCACAAATGACCTTAATGATAGGTTGACAATAAATATTTTTCTCAGTCACAATTTAGCGTTCTCTCTCTCTCTCTTCATATTCTTTTTTCCCTGAAGGAAAGGTATGGTCTTTAAAATGTAACAACTTTTACAGCCGAGGATAGGAGAAAATTCTAGTCAGAATTGTCCACCCCTGAATAAGTACTGAAGATGTGATACACATTGAAGACATGATATTAGCAATTCATTCCTGACAATGCTGATAAACACTTCATAAATGTGGCAGCCCCAAAGGAATGCATGTTGTGATTCACATGGAACATGGGACTTTGAAAAGACTAATAAAATAGACAAATCTCTGGCCATTCAACCAAAGGGCAAAGAGGAAT